AAAAAAACCTGTTCAAAACGGAATCCTGCCAAACCGGAAAAATATGATTCCGGTTTACGCAGGTTTTACTGTATAAGCTGAATTAGTGTTTAAATTATAACTGCATTCCTTTTAAAATTATATTTTTACTTTCCCTGCTGTTACATATAAATATATATATGCATGCGGGGGAGTAAGTGGATAGGTAAGCAGAACGATTTTGTTCATCCTCTTTGAAGCTTAATTAATAACTCCTGTGCCCTTTGTCCCAGATTTCTGAAATTTTGCAGGGAGGTCTGTATATTAGGGGGCATTGATGCTATTAAATTTTGGTGGTTAAAGGTCGAGGGGATGGGAAGATAAAGGGAGATTGTGTGTCATACCTCGAGTGGGCTCGGACTTACAAGTTAATGAAGATTTTACTCGTTATCATCATTTACAATTTTTTTATTTACTATTGGAAAAACTGTGTTTAAAATTTTAAAAAGTCTTTAAAGTTTGAATTATACCTTAAATATAAACCTTGCTTTCGGGTCTTCCTTACAGACTTCAATTACTTCAACACGTGTCTTTGATTTTTCGATGTCACGTACGACGATAATGAACATCAAAGTGTAACTTATATAAAAGTTTGGTGATAAGAAACTTTGTGAGATTATCCCTTAACCTAATCTATATAGGACAGAGTAACTTAATGGATATCCATCATATATCATATGCTGTGTGTTAATTAATATTGCTGTAAGCAGAGCAGTCGAGAAGGGAAAGATGGGGATTTTTTCGGACCCTTACTGATTCCAACCACTATAAATTAATGTTATTTATACTTTAAAAAATACAATTTTTAAAACTGCTTTTTATCAATTAAGAAACATTCAATTAGTTTATCTGTTTAAAAATTGGAAAAAAGGATCCGCTAAGGGGCTCTCTAACCTCAAGCCCCAAACAAACTCTCGATGGCTCTAGCTAGTGTGATTAATTAATAGTTAATAACCCGAGTAATCCAGATAATCGGATTGTTAGAATAGGGGAGATCGGGGCAACTTCGGCATGCGGGGCAAGTTTGTCAAGCGCTTTTTTTAAAAAACAAATTAAAAGGAGACTTTGGTTATAGGTTAGGCAGTTGAGTTTTATTGGTGGCTTGTTGAGTGTAGTGTTTTTATTGTTCTCCAACAAGCGTAGTTGAATTATCAAGCAAATTTTCATTTTCGTTCAATTCCATATAATATTTTTTTTCCATTTATATTGAATTGGCAGGTTTTGTTATAATTCCATGATAACGAAAGTTACTTTTCCTGTTAGAAGGATGTAACTTCAACTTATTCACGTGGCCAGATCGTGGCTTGGCATTCTGTTCTCAGGGTTGTACTTAATGTTTCGAAATCATGACTAGCGGGGTAAGATCGGCAACATAAAGCCACATTAGAAGCAAAGGATAAAAATCAAACAGATGATAAATGAAAACATGTTTGCATTTGTTATTCATGTATATATGTCTTTGAACTTGCATTTCGTTGTAATAATATTAAATGGGTGTTGGATTTGTATTTCTTTGTTTTAATAGTGAATTCCAACTTATACATTGTTAATAACATAATTTTATATACGTGCCTATCTTGCCCCATTACTGTTGCCCCTATACCAGGGGCAACTTTAATAAAAATAATTAAAATAATTACAACTTTACAAAAAGAGAGAAGTTGCCGATCTTGCCCCTATACCCGGGGCAACTTCGTCAATTTCTCTCTTCTTGTAAAGTTGTAATTATTTTAATTATTTTTATTTCCAAACTGATTTTAACCAGTTCTATAGTAAGGTAACATTCCAATAGACAATATGCAAAGCTTTTTTTTCAGTTTACAGCAGTATTTATTACACAAAATTTAAGTAAAGCTTAACATGCCGATCTTGCCCCGATCTCCCCTATATAAATAGGTATTCTATCATTTTTAATTGACTTAAATGTATTTACTATAAGGATTCATTATTTATGATAAAATATATTATATATATCATTATTAAATCCATGCTAACATATCAATATATTTACTTGAAAATTTAAATAATTTAAATCTAAAAGTCATTATTTTTTAACACGGGAAATCGAATTAACTTGAGTTTTCGAAATATTCTCGATAATTTGCGTACAGATTTTTAGTGTCAATATTTAGTTTAATAATGATAATTTCAAATTTTATTTTGTTTAGTGTGTAAGCATGATATCTCGGGCTTGAGGCTTAAGGGGTTTTAATATTAAGTAGACACTACGGATTCACACTGTGCCCAATTTTATAATATACTCTCTATGTAAAGTTTAAAAAATCCAGCAGCGAATTGCTTAACTTTCCCGGCAACATTTAAAATTTTGTGTGGCTCCATCTGTTATCATATTTTATTATTAAAACATTTTATATTTTTAATTATTATAAAATGGCAAAAAAATACTTAACTTTAAAAGTAGGGATGGGTTTTATAAAAATTTGTAAATGCTAATAACGAGTAAAATCGTCATTAAGTTCGGCCCTACTCGAGATATGACACGCGATCCTTTTATCTCCCCGCCCTCTCGACATTTAATCACCAAAATTTAATAGCATCGATCCCTCTAATACACAAACCTCCGTGCAAAATTTCAGAGATTTTCGACAAAAATCACAGGAGTTATTAAGCTTCAAAGAGGGTGAATAAAATCGTGGCACATCCCTCCACACACTAACATCCAGACTTACAGAAAAACCCCGAATTATTTTCCATTTCTCGGCGTTTTAAGGTGTCCTAAGTCCAAAAATGTAAAAATCTTAAGGGTCATGTTTTGACAATCGCCATACTTTCCCTCTGTTATACGAGTATATAACAGAGCCGGAAAGGATAAAATTATATTAAAATAACTAAATACGAGGTATATGTTTAATATTTTAAAAATTTCATACAATTATACTGTTAATAACAAGATTTTTTTAAATAAAAACTTCATTAAGAAGCTTCCAAAAATTGATAAATAAATTCAATATAAATTCTCAAAATTGACCTTTATTTAATTACTTGCCATAGAAGCAATACGTCATAAGCACTCTATGTAATAAATACTTGTGTGTAAATTGCTTAAAATTCAATTTATTTTGTAAATTATACATTATACAATTATAATGGTTTATTTTAAATATTAAATCTAATAATTATGAATTTATTTAAAATTCAGAATATAATTGCTAAGATTTAATGCTGTGTTAATGTTTTGGTGCTTCTAGGCAACAAGTAACTACTGCAATTAATAAATGATAATTTTAATTAAATTTAAGTATTTGTAATTGAATATTTAGACAATTATATAATTATTCGAAGTCGTGGACAAATATTTACACCTTCATTTTATCACATTCCGTACAGTATAAAAGGGTGTCAACAATTGTATTTTGTTTTTCGCCTGAAAACAAACAAGGACTTGTACGTAACGTAATTATTCGGTCTTGAAATCGCAAATAAAATTTATTTAATTGTATTTGTAGAACAAATTATAACAAAATAAATAACCATGTAAACTCTCAATATGGGGTCAGCAGAGGGAACAGCCCGGGACATACCAAAAATGAAATTGCGAGTGCGATGCCCCTATTGGTCTTGCTGGATCGAGTAATCTTTCCAACATTTAATAATTAATGGCCAATAAAAACAGCAGGAATCTGCTTCGTCCATTAACAAAGAAAAATTAAACCCTTAATAAATAACCCTTAACCCCTTAAACCAATTTGTTTGTTTTTTTAAAGGTTAGTTTCAACATATAATTTCTGTAGTCAGGGGAGGAACTACATAGTGACTAATAGAGCTTAAGCCCTGGGTTCCCAAGTGTCAAGGGCCCACAATAATTGAATTGTTATAATAAATTTTTAATACTCATTCATTAACAGTGAGCACTTATCGTATAGTAAAAAATAATTAATATTAATAATATAATAATAATCATTTATAGTATTATTTGTTTAATTTTACCCCAATTTAAAGATTCTTAATCTAACAAAAAATGGGGCCCCATTGGACTTCAATAAGCCCTAGGCCCCGAAAAACCTAGATCCACCCCGTCTGTAGTAGATGATATTCTGAAGATTGTGTGTTACGGCTGTGGTGCATTATATGGCTTCGTGGGGCCCAGGCGAATTTGAAATTACAGGGCTTCGTGTACAATAGTGTTGACTTCAAGCATTTTTCAGGCGGTGGAAATATTTTCTTATAAAAGATTGGTTTGGGGCCGTGTGGATCTCAGGTAATTGCCCTTTTTGCCCATAGAATAACGAGCCACTATGTTACAGAATAAGAAAAGTTTCCAGCTTTATTTGAAATCCCCAAACTCGAGATGAATGGCCTAACCTGAAAACTTTTACCCAGTTTTAAGTTAGATCTTTTCTATTTTATCTAAAAAATTTATGGGGCATATAAGCATGTGCCTATGCACACTGAACTAAACGAGTGATAAGCAATATTTACTTCATTAACCTTCATTAACACAGCGATGATAGGTTTATAATCTGTATAGCTTTATGATTTTTAAATGTGACATATCAAATGATACTCCTAAATATTTAAATTTAGCTTGTGTATAAACAGTATGTCAGTATAAACAGTATAATGGTAAAACTCAAGTACTGTATTATCGAACCAACTGCACACGGGCGTATAGTCCGTCCCCTTCATAATATACAGTATTTGGTAAATTAAAATATTGTTTCTTCTTTGTTATTTAGAAAAATATTTTGGTATATTTTTTTTTATTATTAAAATCGTGAACAGGTAGTCGGTTTTTATAGCATATAAAATTAATTTTTTTCGAAATTTAGGGAAAATATTTGATATAATTAATGTTTAAAAATTTTAAATCGTCACGTGTCTTATTTGAATTATCTTATCAGTTTTTTAATACAGAGTCGCGTAGTGTCTCCATCTGTTGTCGAAAATACGAACAAAAAAACTCGAATTCGTTTCTTTATTTTACCAATGTTTGTATAATAAATAAAATCACAAATCAGGGGTTTTTTTTAAATATATATTCAACAAATACATTGTAAAAATAGTTTTAAATTCCACCATAAACATGCCACATGCCATTAATGCCAACCGTGATGACCGTGATCGTGATGTCCGTGATCGTGATGTCCATGATGTCCGTGATGTCCGTGATGCTCGTGTCCTCCGAAATGCGAAATATGAATATGATGAAAGTGAGGAACGTGATGAAAACCATGTATAGTATTCGTGTGATGCTTCACGCTAAAATACGCATAAAATTATTAATTTAAAATAAGATACTAAAATAGTAAGCGCATAAAATTACTTACGGGATGGGGAAGTAAACTTGTTTATGCCCGTGATGTCCGTGATGCAGTGGTATAGGTATCGGAATTGGTAAAATCGAGTGCCCTTTATGACCACCACCCATTGACAAGATAGCCGCTAAAGCAGCCAAGCCATGCCCACCTTTGTCACCACATTCCGTATGGTTAATCATGGATGCTATCGTTATCACTACGATCAACACGTAACTCGAATACCGTTTATCCATGTTGAATCTAAACATAAATTAATATATAATTCTACAAACGTTTAACCGAATTATATTGTCATAATAGAAGTATCGTTTAAGTGAATCGCTAACCTACCTGCTGTTAGTAGAGAACCTTTCAGGATGCGGAATAAATATTACGAGATAAGTAGAGTAACTTGGCTTAAATAGTGTGGCATTCAATCATAAAATTGTCTTAGTTTTTTGTGATCTATTTTCACAGATTTCCTTTTTTTCAAGGTCAATTGTTTTTTTTTCTGAATTTCGCTCTGGCATTCATTACCTAACGTTGTTTAAACTACGTTTTCCTGAACAAAATTTTACTTAAAGGAAATTCTATTCCATATTAAACGTCAATGAACCAAAAAGAAGCTCATGCATTTTGTTTTACGCATATATATGTCTACACATAGACATATTTAAAAAAAATTAAAATAAAATAAAGTTTAATTCATTTGTTTACTTTTATTCAGGTTACAGAACATTGACAGCTGTTTACACGGTAAGTTACATGATTTATGTGGCCATTTTTACAGGATATCAGGTAAATGAATAATGAATGTTAATCTGTTTTAGGTTATTTACATAAAATGCTATCAGGTTTTTTCTTCCGGTTTCGGCAGCAAATTAGTTTATATGTTGCAGCGAAGTCACACTTTCTTGTAAATAAATTATTAATTTTTATTGGTAATTCAATAAAAATTTAAGAGTTAATAAAGTTATTTTATGTTATAAATTTTAAATATAATTTAATTATTTTTAATTAATTAAATTAAGTAGGAATGAATTTAATGTTTCGTATTTGTTCACATTTACGCTCTTAATAATGTTAATAAACCTCCAAATTTAATATAAATTATTTTAAAACTACATAAAATATATTAAATTAAGTTAAATAATTAATTATTTTATAATTTTTAATTTCAAAATTTCAAAAAAGTTTCAATTTTCGTGTATAAAGCGCATTTTTTTTTTAATTAAAAAAAGAATAGAAAGGAATTTCTAGTTTGAAGATGTTTAGTATCGTCTAATGATGCACAAGTTATTGACCCATTATTTTTAAAAACCCGTTGCACAATTAATGACCCCTAAATTTAAGGAAGTTTTATGCTATTGATGATATAGCCGTTATTTCTTTGTAAACTGCCATTACTGAAATGGTATGACCGACATATTTTTTTCATATATAAGATTTTGTGTAAATTTTAATTCAGTTTGTCGTACGAAAACCTTTTTTATTGCAGCTTATATGATATATATACATGTTAAAATATGCCTATATAAAATATTAGATTCTATATATTATAAAATATATACTCCTATTCTTGCAGTGTTGTTATGGGTGTGGATGGACTTAGACTTGTTGTGGACCTAAGCTATAATATATAACAAGCCCTTCTCTTCCAATAATGTAAAAATGTCAGGTCCTAAGCTATAGAGGTCCTAAACTGGAGCTCGTTTAGCTTAAATCCAGCCTTGGCTACGAATTATATACTACATTCTTATATTATTAATATGGTTCTGTATGTTATAAACTTATCTTGCATTCTTTTATGGTACTAAGTGTTATACATTCCTACACTACACTCTTACATACTGCTGTGCATTATAATTTATATTCTTGCAATGGTGCTTTATGTTATTAATTACATTTCACACAAAAGAACCAATTCATTATAATATTTCTTTATTAAAATACATAAATTTATACAATAAAAACGTGAAGTGATGAATATAATGTTTGCATATTACCATCCACTATGCCATCCGCTATCCCAATCCTTCCATCCGTGATCATCCTGAATTGCAACGTATTTTGTATGAAATTCATGGACACTATTAAAGAAATAATAAAAATAAATAATTACATAAATTATTTTGTAGACAAGTTAGCACTAAAATTTACATATATTAAAACAGCTTTTGTTTATTTTATATTCTTGTTCTTCCCCTTTGAACTATCCACTATATTATACAGAAACTATACGATGTATGTTATATATGTTACTGTGAATGACCGATATGTGGTGAATGTCAACATTTTCCGGTGAATGTCAGCATTCACACAGTCGTTTCGTGTATGTACGAAATATTTGCTAAATATCGTTATTTCTCACTTACACCGGCAAATGTCGACATTCAGCATGCACTGATGGTGAATGTTGAATAAAAATATTTTTATTATGTTAAGACAAAAATGCAACTTTTTAATATGTCAAAATAGGAGAAAGCTTAAGTAACAGCACATTTAAATAAACTGTTGAACCTAAAACAAACAGTACATTCTAAATAAATTGTGATTAACGTTATACAATCTTATTTATTGCAACAACTTAAACTGTTATGGCACTTTGAATTGCACAAGAGTCCAACTTGCTTTTACAACTGCATTTATTCGTGGAACACTTCTTTTTGCAACGACAGCGTGTATAGCCTTGCCCTCCACTTTTCGAATTAGCTGCAGCTCTCAGTGATATTTCTTGAGAAGAAATATCATCTACGGAAAGTAACTTTTCTTCACAAATTACGAACTGATTACGGGTATAAAGCTGCTTGAGAGTACCATTTTTACCATTTTTGTTTACCATTTTTGTTTACTAATTTAAAAATGTCGAAGTCTTCTATTCCAACAACAACCGCCAACACATTTCGGGCATCTGTACGTCCACGGTCGACATCATTGACTTGCATTTGCACGGTATCACCAATTTGAGCAGTAAGAAACGGCGAAGAATTTAGCGACAGACTGTCGCCTCTCTGTCGACATCTGCATCTCGGATGTCGTTTCGACCTCCACCGAAGCTTATCTGTGCTTGTCGACATACACCGGCGATTGTTCGAATGCATATAATATAACCGAATATTCGGTCTTTCACCGACGTATATTGTATGTGCCGACATTCACCGGAGAATATCGACATTTTCTAATTTCGGTCTTTTACAGTAACATATATATAATTTTGACGATAAAATTATATACTTGTATTATTAGTACATATTTAATTGTAAAAATTGTTACAAGAAACTCTTAAATTTTAATAACAGCAAATGAAACAGAATATTATATTCCTGTTTAATTCTGAAACATTTGTTGTAGTAGAATCTTCGGTTTTATTCTTGAGATAATTGCTTAAAATAGAACATTAAATTTTATTATTTAATCTTGAAACAATTGTTGAAACAGATTAATTACGTTTCAATTTAAAAAACACGTGAAAACATTTTTTTAAAAATGCTTTCTCATATAAACATTAAAAATCAAATTATTATAAATTTGATATCGTGTTTCTAACTAAAGTAATTTCAATTTAATTAGGGAAAGAAACGAAATTAATTTAAAATAATAAAAACTTGAAGAATTAGACAATTAATTTACTAAATTTCGATCTACAAGATCGAATAATCTGTAAATAAATGTAATTAAAAAGCGATTAATTTAAAAAACAAACTGATTTATATCAAATTTATTTTTATTATAAAAATACTTTTTTAAATCTATAAAACCTAGATAAATACAATCAATCTATAGTTTACAATTAAACTAGGTTAATGTCTGAGTCAAAATAATTTCGTTTAGTCTACGTAACTTTCTTTTCCTCTTTTCCTCGGAGGAAAAAGTTAAAGTCTTACATGAAAATAATAAAAAATAATTATTTTAACTTTGTTCAAAATAAAGATATTAATAATAATAATAATATAGGAGACACCTTTTGTATCCAATTTTTTCCTTTAACTAGAGGAAAATTTTTGTTAACAGTTGTGATTGAGTTTATTATTTATTTTTATTTTTGAAAATAAATACGAAAAAACAAGAAAATAACTTACGGATAAGGAACAAATATCTTTTTCTTCTCCTGATGTATTTTGATTGGTATAGGAATAGGAAGAGGAAGAATTATTTTTTTAGGTGCTAGTGCCTTAGCGATGAGTCCAGCTGCTAGAATCTTCTTCAATTTATCGCCGTCCACTTCCATAATTAATAATAATTGAAGAGTTATGATGAAAAGTACACAAATTTTCGCCCTCATCATCTGTCAAAACGATATTTATCGATTGTTAATAATTAAAAGCTGTTAAATTTATAATTAAAGTAACCCGAATGCAAGAAAGCAGGTGAAGTTTCCTGTAATTTGATAGCTCTTTTCCTGCTTTGTTTATCTTAAAGTACAATTAATTTAAATGTCAGAGGGACAAGTTGGAAAAAAATAGCAAAATTAACATGCAGGATGTTTTAAAACTTAGAAATATTTTAAGAAATTCCGAACAAAACTGTGTAGTGATGGTTTACGCCCTTTGAACTTTAACCAAATCACACATTAAACAAGTTTAAAGTATGAAAATAAAGTTTAAACCAGTTTAAAGTATTATACAGAATGCATTCAGTTTTTACGTGATAAAAATTTAATTATATTTTAATAATTTTAAATGTCGACACAAGAAATTTAATTAAAATTACACTATTTAGAGAAGTCGATACTAAATACAGATCAGCTAACGTAATAATTCAATTAAAAAAGTGTTGTAAGTGATTTACTTTACGTCTCGGTACAAGTAAAAAAATAAATTACATAAAATAAGGCTTACTTTTACAAGGGAGGCTCGCAGAATACGAAACAACTTTCTCTTTGAAGAAAGATTTATTATGATAATCCTCAGTTCCGGCCGGTCTTCTTAAATAGCGATCACGAATGAAAGTAGTTCTTTGAACCTCTTACAAAAATAGTATCACCTTAACATATTTAACTCCGCCTCATTTTCTCCATCTTTACCCTTTACGTATCCTAAGGGAGAGAATGTAATTAGAAAAACTCCGATTCATCCATTCAAAAAAAGCTAATTTTGACCACTAAATGGTTTCCAAAACGTATNTTTTAATTTAAATTTCTGTGTAATTAATACTCACGGTTTTCCTATCGCATGGTATTTTGTATGTACATAAGGTATGCTTTCCACGGATGGTATAGAGTAAAGAAACACCATAAAACATAACGTTAAAGCACAGATGTACTGTATTTTATTCATTCTGTAAAGAAATACGTTAATTCCAAGGCAAATCTTATATAAACACAGGTGTATTAAATATAAAATAACATAAAATACCAAAAACAATAACATAAACTAACATAAAATATAACATAAAAACAAATCCTGTATTTATTATATAGATTTAATGCAAGATATTATTTATATACAAATTACAAACACTATACTATACACTGTGTAGTATATTTTAGTATATTCAATGACAGATTAAGACCTTCAGGGGTCCCTAGGCACAGAACTTTAGGACACTTCTGAGGCCTGGATATTATATTACATCATAAATTAATAACGTTTAATTGTAAAATTGTAAATGTAGTGCCTAGTGAACAATCTGGAACTGAGTGTATTCAACTATACTATTCTACACTACATAATATATATATACTATAGACACTACACAGCAAATAAAATTTATTTTTTTCTTTTTTCTCGGTATATAATAATAATTATAATTAAGCTTACATTATTTATAGTTTCATCAAGATAATGATTAATTTCATTGATTTATACAGATGAAGGTTGGACGAGGAGAGTACTTTTAAAGCAAAAACGATAAAATTGGATAAATTGAAGGCGACAGGAAAGAAAGTAGGGATATTTTTAGTAAATTTTTACTTATTATATTACTAATTTTACGAATTTTTATATAAAAAGTCCATTTAAAAATAATAAAAACAGTAAATGAAATTACATTATACAAATTTCTTTAACGTTAATATAATTTTAGGAACTGTAAAGTATATATTATTCTTGTTATTTATCAAATAGTAAGACTAATCATTGAGATCTTTAAATATAAATTTATAAATAGCGTAACTATAAATGAATTTATTATAAAGATTATAAAAAAATCGATTAAAATGTTATAATCTAGTTTTTAAATATATTAATCGCTAATCATTTAAATTAAAAATCTATTTATAAATGCCATCATTTATCGTACATCAAACTCGGCAGAGTTCATTGCATTATTTTGGAACTCGAAATATTCTCTTGGTTAGTTTCAATTAATCATTTTATGCTGACGTTAACGGAGTGAATACTTCAGAAATGATGTTATCAGAGGTATTATTATACTTTTAAAACAATATCTTAATCTTATGCATTTTGCACAATATGCTAATTACATTTACTTCACCATAATGAAGATTCATGGAAGAGGCAAGTCGAGCAAAAGAATCTCTCCAACTAAAAGTGGATGCTGGAAATAATTGAATTAAAGTATTTTAAGGTAAAAATATGTAGACTTTTGTACTTTTTATAGCACTAAAATGTGATTTTTAATCATATTTTATGCAGAGAAACTGAAATTTCTAAATTAACACGCTCTGCGAATTGTGTTTAAGGTACGAAGAGTGATGATTAAAGGATCAAAGTTTAGATTCCTATATTTTAATATAATTTAAGTCTATAGATAAGATATTAGAACTGGTATAAGGCTGTATATTGATCCGTTTGTTTATATTCTAAAAATAAAAATTCTATTTATAACTGGCGAAATGCAATTCACAAGTTATTATCCTTTTGGAATATTTTTAAAGCTAGATTTATTTTTTTCTTCTTCTTCCTCCATCGAGAAAAATGCATTTCTATTTTCTAAATCTGTTTGAAAATGGGTGTGAAAGTTACAAATTTTCCTATTGCCTTATTGTTAAATGCCAAGGGCGATATAAAAAGGAAATTTTATCAAAAATAGAAACGATTCGCCCATCGTTTGACCTAAACCCTGAAACATAAACAGTGAACGAGGAGAAGGAGAGTATTTTGAAAAGGAAAAAAAAAGAAAGATAAAATTAGATAGATTGAAGATGATAGGAAAGGAAAGAGAAAGGAAATTGGGAAAGGGCGTAGTCTGTTTTGATTCAAATATTTTTCCTTGGTAGTGAAGATGATGCTAAAAATGGATTCGTGTCTGCAGATTTTTTTTTGGAGAGAGGAAGGATAACTTAAGTTTTAAAATTCTTAACTTAAATCTCTATAAAAATAATAAGTTTACATAATATTTACTTAAGAATTTGCTTAAAAAACTGTGATAAATCAATAGCATTTCCTGTCTACCCACGCGCTACATATGTAATTTATAGGGCACATTGCCTTTAAGTCGTGTAATTTATTACTTAAATAAGCTTAAATCTTTATATACAAGTTATAAAAACATATATATAAATAATTTAATAGCAGATTACCGAATTTTATTTTCTATAACATCAATCAAATTCATCACCTTTAAGGAGACGACATCTTATTCATCGTCAACGGACTTTGACGTGTTAATTAGTTTTATGAGCGGTAAATTTCGTAAATAAACCAGCAGAAAAATGAAAGTTAAAGATAATAATTAATTAAAACTTAATTTAAAAAACTTATATTTTGTATTAAAACCTGTCCAAGGCGAGAGATTCGGAAGATATCGCAACGATAGGGCTTTGACAAAAACAAGTCTATAGCCCTGTTTTGAATCAAAGACAAGGAAGTATTTTCCGTTTCCTGGTTCGGATTAAGTAAAAGTAATAATTTAGGTCGATTAACTAGGTGTCTGAGTGAAAGTAAAATATCACAAATGGGTGAAAACGTTTACCCAATTTATAAAACAGGTTTTATAAGAAATATGTTAAAACAAATAATAAAACCGGATGAAAAATTCATATTTATTAAATTTTTAAATTATAAAAGCTTTTATAATAAATTGCACATAAAAAACAGGCATTTTATAACATAAATATACTAGAATAGCAACAAAAAAACTGACATTAGCTAAAATCTAATTCTACCATTTTTAGAAAATCAACTACTAGTTACAGAATGCTACTTGTCTATAAACAAGTACTTTCTGTATTTATCTTTAAATATAATTAATATTTATTATCGTTATATTTATCTTTCGCAATTTTTTTTTAATCTTTACTTAATCTACATTAAAAATGTATTAACAGAATGTGCTAATATACTAATAANAACAATACGGACGAACCTCCATTAAAAGCCATCTGTAAACTGCAGTCTTTTTTTCAGAAACCTCCAAATAACGGCCTTTTTAATGCTCCCTTCAGCATTCGTTCTTCATAGGTTAAACAGTAATTGATTTACAAATAACTAAGTGAGAGTTTTAAACAATAATAAAAAATTATCGATCTCTTTATTATTGATTTCAATAATCCAGAAATAACAATAGTTTTAATTAATTAGAGAGCATGGATGCACAGATGGTTTTTAATCATAAGTTGAGAGAAGTGACCAGTTATAAATGTGGGCCTTACCACCTTCTAAAGCCATAAAAATATATAAATAAAATCAATAAATGGTAACAATGTGTTTTTACTTGTAACTTAAAATTTATTTTGATAAAACATCACTTTAAAACCATAATGCTTTAGAAGCGCGGTTTGAAAGTGCAACGCAATAGGAGTGCCCCTTGTGTTGCGTTGCTTTATAGCAATCTCTCCCTCCGGGAGGACTTTCTAGAGAAACTTGTCCTTATTTATGTGACACACGTGAAGAAAACTCGAAAACTCCACGTGGCCAGCTCGTTTGCAAGGCGCGACCACCTACAAAATTTAAGAGATTAAGACGATCAGCGTTCGGTTCTGGGGCCAAGTATCCTTTCTAGGTCTCCTAAATATAATTTTTTTCCTGATAAAAGAATGTCCTACTGATATTACATCTTCCTTGAAACGATTTAATTTACTTATAAACAACTGAAAGATGATTTAAACAAATTATAAATAAATCAGTGAAAACTTTATAAATATCAACACGTTAGTTAAATATAGTCATTAGAAAATAAATGACTATTTTATATATATAAATTTAACTGATCTGATATGAAAATTGAACACACAAAGTTTCGGTGTAAGTTAATGTCCAAGTTTCAAAAAAAGTAAGAGGAAAAATAGACAATAGACCTACAACATTAATCTGATTTTTCCATCGTATAATTATCACTCGATCAGAATCATATTTTCAGAAATAAATTATAAAATAATAAATGAATAGAACAAAAGACTACTTTTTGTATCCCTCTGTGCAAAATTTCAAGGCGCCTAAAATAGCAGGGCCTCTTACAGGTAAAGGAGGTCCTGGTCACTTACCTTTATGAGGTTCCTCGTATATTAATTTAAATAATAAAATTTGACAAAACAAAGATTATTTTCCTTGATAAACATAAGGATCATTTGGTCCAACCCTCAAAAACACAAGAAATTTGTATTTTTGAGGCCTGGAACAAATGGCTTAATGGCCCCTTTAGTGATAAAGCCTGTCCTATAGTTATTGATCTAACCAGTTATTATTATCATTATCTACTATTTTTATAAAAATTTCGGTTGATTATGTAGGTTAAATGTCTGTAATATAAACTTATCACTATTGTCTATATATTTCTTTCAAATAAAATTCAATTTCTTATTGTAATGCGGCTATTAATATACCGAATCACATGTTTATTCACTTTAAAAACATTTATATTCTTAGCCTATTATTTAAATGATTGATCAATTAATTGTATTGTGTAGTTAAGTTTCTTATCAAAATAAATTTATTTAATCATAACTTTAGTTTTTAAATTGAGTTTTAATTAATAAAATCTTACAGAAAGTTAAAAATATAATTAATATTATATCGTTTAACTCGTACAGTATTTGCACAAGATTATACACAAGAGATTATGGAAAAAATGAAGTAAAATATTTTCAGTAGATGAAAAAATGGCGGTTCTCTTTATTACATACGTGGAAAATTCTTAACAGATTTTAATGTAGATATAAAATTAACCAGAAATTACTTTAACTGGAAAATGACTAAGTACATGAATTATATAATTATGATAAACTTTATCCATATCTAAGTACCTTGAGGCAATTCAATGAACAGTTGCCCAAAGGGAAGAACAAGTTGGCACGTTTGGGCATTGAAGGCAAGTTCTCTGGAATTTACGGAACACGTGGTGACTGTCCATAATGGAGTTTCAAAATGAGTCAGGGCCTTAGGTGTTGAGATTTAGTCACACACTGATGAAAATCTGCCATAATTCTTAGTCTGTTCTATATTAAATCTATAAATTTACAAAATATTTTATAAAATTTTATAACTAATATTGTGATATGTAGGCTTACATTTACATTTAAAAGAGTAAACTTTAAAAAAAATTAATTTCTTGTTATTAATGTAATTAAAAATAAAGCAATAATCAGTAATTTATAACGGAAATTGTTTCTTTTGAATCGGTTTTCGCGTAAGGTAAAAGGTAAAAAAAAAAATTATTTTTAGGCTTATTTTGATACACTTTTCCGTTTTTTTGTGGGTCACGATGCGACTTGAATATTTTAAATTCGATTATATTTTTTTAATACATAAAATTAATGAACAAAGCCAAAAATAAATGAAGTGGGGCGAAAAACAGAGCTCTTCTACACGTGTTTTTAAAATATTATCACTTTAATTAAGAAATATTACACTTGCTTAATTTTCTTTAAATTATAATGAATAACTTTGCTAATTTTAATTTTTAAAAATTGCTTTGGGTGGTAACAACTTTTCCAGATGTCCCTCGTATATACAGAAAAAAAAAATTCATTTTTTTTATGATGAATAATTCTTGAGATGTAGATCGTGATAGACAGACATTTCGTAAAGTATGTAGGCTTTAATCAATATTATATTTGACGATATAATTTAAAAACCTGTCTTCCGTTTATGAACCAGCATTGAAAGTCATGAATTGTTATATAATGACTAGAATTAATATATATTTTTTCTATTATATCATTCAAATTATAAGTAAATTGTTGTAAAATTTTAAAATATAAATTATTTCAAATATAAAATTTTAATTATAAACAATACGGACGAACCTCCATTAAAAGCCATCTGTAAACTGCAGTCTTTTTTTCAGAAACCTCCAAATAACGGCCTTTTTAATGCTCCCTTCAGCATTCGTTCTTCATAGGTTAAACAGTAATTGATTTACAAATAACTAAGTGAGAGTTTTAAACAATAATAAAAAATTATCGATCTCTTTATTATTGATTTCAATAATCCAGAAATAACAATAGTTTTAATTAATTAGAGAGCATGGATGCACAGATGGTTTTTAATCATAAGTTGAGAGAAGTGACCAGTTATAAATGTGGGCCTTACCACCTTCTAAAGCCATAAAAATATATAAATAAAATCAATAAATGGTAACAATGTGTTTTTACTTGTAACTTAAAATTTATTTTGATAAAACATCACTTTAAAACCATAATGCTTTAGAAGCGCGGTTTGAAAGTGCAACGCAATAGGAGTGCCCCTTGTGTTGCGTTGCTTTATAGCAATCTCTCCCTCCGGGAGGACTTTCTAGAGAAACTTGTCCTTATTTATGTGACACACGTGAAGAAAACTCGAAAACTCCACGTGGCCAGCTCGTTTGCAAGGCGCGACCACCTACAAAATTTAAGAGATTAAGACGATCAGCGTTCGGTTCTGGGGCCAAGTATCCTTTCTAGGTCTCCTAAATATAATTTTTTTCCTGATAAAAGAATGTCCTACTGATATTACATCTTCCTTGAAACGATTTAATTTACTTATAAACAACTGAAAGATGATTTAAACAAATTATAAATAAATCAGTGAAAACTTTATAAATATCAACACGTTAGTTAAATATAGTCATTAGAAAATAAATGACTATTTTATATATATAAATTTAACTGATCTGATATGAAAATTGAACACACAAAGTTTCGGTGTAAGTTAATGTCCAAGTTTCAAAAAAAGTAAGAGGAAAAATAGACAATAGACCTACAACATTAATCTGATTTTTCCATCGTATAATTATCACTCGATCAGAATCATATTTTCAGAAATAAATTATAAAATAATAAATGAATAGAACAAAAGACTACTTTTTGTATCCCTCTGTGCAAAATTTCAAGGCGCCTAAACTAGAACGATTCTAAAAATAAATAACTGGAATAACGAAATATTTATAAATTACAGAAATATGTCCCAGTCGTTATACTTTAAATAATTTCTATTTAATAAAACTCCATTCTATAATACACAAATTATAGAATGGCTCTAGAAATTATGTATTGATATAATCTCAAGCTTTATTGTATAAAAAAAAATGCATTATATATCCTTGGATGCTTAGTTTATGCATGTAATTAATTCGGGATTTTATCTCCATCAGATATTATTATAATATATAGTTATATATATTATAAGTAGACAGATAAACTCAAAACATGGCGCTAAAGGTGATAATTTCTATTTTTATATTGTGAACCTGTTATATATTCATTATACTACAACACTATGAAATAATTTATTGAATTTTTTAATATCAAAACATTACTTACGACATTTATTTTTTATTTTACTATATATAATAATTAAGTAATTTAAATCTAAATTACCTGATAATTACGCTTACTTACTGATATATTTTATACAGTAAATAATGTTTATAAAAATTTTAAAATATTAATTTGTTTTTAAAAGATTTTTAAATATTTAATAGAGAAATCAATATGTATAAATCTCCTTTAAAATAAAATGTTATATTATTTAAATATTAATCAATAAAAATTAATATATTGATTGATACTTGCAGATTTGGAAAAAGGAGGTGCCAGCAGGACCATTTGCATGAGCCCGTTATAGCTTCATGGGGCCCCGTGTACAATGTTGACTTCAGTTATTTTTCTCCGAGGGAAATATATAAAAGATTGGTTTGAGAGCCCTGTTGGTGGGGGCCCCCAAACAGGGTAAAAAGGGTAAAATCCTATGGGTAAAAAGGAAAATTGCCTAAAGTTCCTTCTTACCCATAGGATAACGGCCGACCAGATACAGAGGATCCCCAAAATTTAGTCTTTTATATAAAAAAAAATATCAAAAACGTCCATAAAGTTTTTTTAGATAATAATAAAAATGCTTTTATTGATTTTATTGATATATTTTTATGGCTTTCAGAGATAGATAGGGCCCCATACTAGGGATTTGAAGCGAGCCCCATCTTTCATCTTAGTGTCTAGTAATCTAATTTATTTAATAATTTAAAATTAAAATTAAAAAAACAAAATAATTATAATATAGTTTTTTTTTAAATTACAATTTATAAAATAGAAAATATTTAAATTTTATTTCTAAGTCATTTCGTTCATTTAATTAATTAATTGAACGCATAATAAATAAATAAATTCGTTATTTAAAACTGACCAGTTTATTTACCTAAGGTAATTTATTTTCATTAAAATTTAATTATAATTAAAATAATGAAATTAATCATTTTTAAATTTAGAATTAATTACGTTTAAATAACGAAAATGATTACTTTAAATAGAGTTAATTGCGTTTAACAATGAAATTGATCAATTTTATTTAACAATTGAAAGTTAATTACGTTTTTAAAATAATAGACAGATTATTTTTAAAATTTATTTATGGAATTATTTAAAGTTTTAAACAGTGACATTATTATTAATTTCTACAATAGAAAATGAATTCCTGAAAGGCCATAAAAGTGTACAGCACTTTTAATATATTTATAAATAACATTTTAAGTATTAATAATAATTATTTTATAAAGTTAACTATTATTTATATTTTAAAAATTATACAATTCTTAATATTTTATTCTATATTATACCCTTCTTATAACATTCTTTTTCAATATTATAGAACAAAAATAAAGTATAAACTTAAGTAATACATTAAAAATTACACATTAATCAGAACAGAAGGAACTCATATTTTATTCAATAAATCAGTGATTAATCAATAGAACATTTTTTGATAAAAATTCTCTAATCCTTCATTAACCTTACACGTATTTAATTCTGAAAAATAAATGTGCCAACTTTATTTAATAAATTATGGAAGAGGATAGAATATAGGAAAAAGTTAAAACTTTTACTCTGATTCTATACATAAATATATCATAATACCTATTAATGAATTAAGGAAAACAGAAAATAACATATTTATATACATTAGAACCATTTGATTGACCTAATTATGTCGTCTTTGATTTAATGGTGACTCTATTAATGTTTTTTTTCTGATCAAATTTGTTTCCTGTTACTTAGAAAAACACTGCATTAACTTAAGATTTTTAATAAAATAATAAATACAAATTGTTTTTTTTATGATTAATTTAAATTATATAAACTTTAACATATTTTAATAACCTTCTTCGAGGAATACAAGACAAGAAAAATGGAAATAGGAAGACTAAAGCTGGTTTTTTAATGTTCCTATTTGGATATTTACGAATATATAAATAATAATATCAATAATAATGTCCCTGTCGAGTGTAAATGAGATAAATTATTATTTCTGTTCTAGAATTTAAAGATTTCTTATAACGATTCCAGCTTTTGTATGGTCTAAATAAACTAAACCGTGAGTTCTCTTTTATGGTATAAAATGAGAATCACATTTTCCTGAATTGGATCGACTGAACAAACATCCAGACATCCTCCTATCTAAATTTACACTTAAATAACACAACTTAAACAATATAAAAGCTCGATGCATTATTCAATTCTGAGTTTGCATTGTAACCATTTACATATAAAATATATTTACTCTTACTAAAGATTGTTTTTTTTAATAATTTATATACGTAAAAATATACTTAAATATGTTAAATTTGTATTTAAAATTTGGTTTTAAGTGTTTAAGCAATTAATGAATATTAATCTATAAAATTAGATTGATATACAGGGTAGCCCATAAGTTTGGAGACATAATTGTGTTAATCTTTGTTTACTCTTTTACATGGTGCTGAGTAAGGAGGAAAGAATCCATGTTTAATGTTAGGGACTATCTAACTTAAGAGTTTAATATGATGCAACCAGGTTGCACACCAAGCTATTTGTATGCAGCCTGTTAAACTCTTTAGCAACTTCACATATTTGCAGGTCCACACCATCAAAACAATTGAATTCGTTCCTCCTTATTCAGCTCCATGCTTCACCTGTACAGTAACGCATTATCCTACGGGCAAAAAGGGCAATTGTCTGGGGTCCCCAAACCAAACTTTTATAAACTAATTATTGTAGTAATAGTGTAGAAATTTAAATTTGTACCCTATCTGGGGACCCTAGATTGCTGGAGTGGTGCAAGTGCTGGGTGCACTGGCGTTAAAAAAAACGAACGTGAAATTTCTCAAAAATTCCCTCGAAGATAAATATTTGAACACTGTACAAAGGACTCTTAAATCAAATTCGCCTATGCCCCATGAAGCTATAACTCGCCACTGCACGTGTAAAAGAAAACACAAAGATCTATATAATTTTGATTGTTCCAGACTTACGGAACATACTGTATAAGTAATAATTAAAGCAGCATAATAATGCCGATTGCATTGTTAATATTATTGCGTTTGTTGATAAAAATTACTTAATGGATATTAAGGATAATTCAATTAAAGTTAAGAACTCTCAGAAGGACCACAATAACGATAAAAAGGAAAATCTTTCGTTAAATACAACCAGTAATTCTATAACTGGAACCATTAACATATCACGATCCGATGAACCAAAATGTCGTATATGTTATTATAATAGCCAAAAGGAAAAGCTTATATCACCATGCCAATGTAAAGGTATAACGTAAGAATTTATTTTTACATAAAATTCAAAACAAATAAATCATTAATCAATTGTGCAAAAAGTAAAGAAAAATTAAGAGGATAAAACTAAATACAATCAGTTCAAAATCATAAATTTATTTACTGAAATAGGCGGCCCAAAACTCGGTTAACCGATATTTAATCAATACTGTTAGCTGCATTCGTGTCCCCCTTCATGGAATTTATCAGTTACTTAATACAATTCATTAATAAGCGATAATTTTAGCAACAAGTAATTAAATTAATTTAAATTATAGATAATTTGAAACTGAATTCTATACTTTATCCTCGTTTGAATGATCGCTTCTTCTATATTATAATCTAGCTAATTGCGAAAATTGATATTATGGTAATAAAATCAACAAAGATAATTATTACTTTGTTGATATTTATGTAATTAACTTTATAATAATTAATATTAACGATTTTATATGATTATATTTAACAATTTTGATGTAAATGATCAATTTTAAGACTCTCGCGATCATGTAAATCAATAAAACGCTTTTATATTCCTATGTTATCTCGCTGCTATTCTTGTAGGAAGTAAAAATTTTACAAGCTCTAGAATTTTTTATTTTATTTTATTCTTTTGGTTTTTTTATCGGTGGAGGAAAATATCTTATATGTTTGCCTGCAGCAGTGATGTCTCACTGCATGATGTTCCTCCATGAGTATTGTACTTGAAAAAAACATCACCAACTCCAGAATTTCTACTGTCAAATCCAAACAAAACTACGTGAAGTAAATATATTTCTTTTTCTTGTGATACAAGAGACACACTAAACGTCACTAAACCTTTTACTTAATTACAATTAGGCATTTAATATAATTTAAAACAGATTCAAAACAATGTTTTCTTGTAGAATGTTTTCCATATTCAAGAGTAATCAATCCAGTTCCATGCTTGATTTCTTCATTTTTCATGCTGCATGAATATTTTTTTTTTTTTGTTGAAAGATGAATAATGACGAATTATAACAGTCTTCATTATTCATCTTTCTTTCGTATAATTTACAATTATGAATATTTGTATTAATAAATCGCACACCAAACCTTGAATCAACGTCTAAAAATAGGAAATGAATATGGCGGAAAATTGTAGCATTAATATTTAAATTCTTCTAATTCTTGACTCATTTTCATCTTTAAGGATAATTTAATATGGTTATTTTCCTCTGGTAAGGTTTTCTAGGAGCTCACATACGTTTTCGATATACACTTAGCGTGACACTAAACTATAATATAAGAAGGCCCTTATTCTTCATTAAATAATAAATTTAAAAGCTGTGGTGTAATGCTATTTGCTAGTATCTTGTTTAGTTATATATTAATTTGTGAGAGATCCATTATTCGAAAATCAACACTAGCTAGGATCCCATTATTTATATGATGTCACATATCTTACGAACTTTCACATTAAATAAATCTACGCTTGCTTAGAGCCTCTCGGAAGTTAAAATGGCTATTGAATGTCTAATTTTTTTATGTTACAGTTTATAAATTGATGAATGAATTTTTTATATATACAATATTAATGATTATTTCTATAACAGTTTTAAATATTCATTCTTTCAAGCTTAGAGAATTTTAGAAAATAAATTATTAAAGCAGAAAATATAATAATATGATGATGATATATTTTTTAACTATCTGCCCTGTGGACACTAAGAGAGCCTTTTTTTAGGTATGACACCTAAAAAAGATGGTGGATTCGACCAGATCCACTATGATGAGATTGGGTGGTGAGGGAGGTTGGGTTCGTTCCTCATCATCAATCTTCTCATTGGTGGCTGAATAACAGGACACCCAAAAAGGTCCACTTAGTGCCCACAGGGCAAAGAGTTAATAAATATATATATTATATATATATATATATATATATTTTTTTTTTATCATTATCTATGTATCTGAGAATTACCATCCCTCTAAAAATTCCTGGAGATATTCGATCTTCAAGGATTCGATCTCGGGTCCCTCAGAGGTAGTTTGGCACCTTATTACATCGTTATGGTTTTATGCTTTTTTTAAAGATACTTTAAACATTTTATAAGTCTTTCTTAATGTAAACTATAGTGTTTTTTGAAATTGGATGTTAGAAGCACTTACATTGATAACATTTTTACTTTGTGTTATCCATCAACACCTTCCACTCTCCATATTAAACAATATATCTTGTATCAAATAAGAANAAAATTTGATCACTATTTAAATACAGTATTTACTTTTAATATTACCGATATGTCATCGAAAAGAAAACGTGTTATATTATCATTAAAAGACAAATTAAAGTATATGCTTCCATTATCCGGATTTTTCCTTATCCGGACTACCTTCATCCCCAATTAGTCCGGATAATCGAGGTTCTACTGTATGTCTAGGTTCTATTGGACTGATACACAGAACATGCTTACAAAAATGGCTAGAGACTCGTGATACAAACTCATGTGAATTGTGTAAAGGGGAATATGCAGCTACTCGAACTTCAAAGGTATAGAATGATAAATAATAAATAATTATGTATTTTATTGTAAACAACTGATCTATATCTCACAGACGTTTTACGATTGGTATCGAAATTCAACAACTCAACAACAAGTTAGAAACATCTTAAAAGATTTATTTGTTTCTTTTCTTCTAACACCATTATTTTTTATATGTATATTCATATTTATCGAGCAAGCAATCCAATATACTAAAAGCAAAAAGGATGTTTCATCGCTTGTAAGTGCAACCGTGTTAGCCATCTTCTTATTGTTCGTGTATCTGTTGTATGTAATTGGCAGTTTCAGGTAATTTTAATCGTCGTTTTTAAACCGAAAGAATAAAAATTCAATTTTATTATTTCGTTTATAAAAATTCAATTTTGATATTGTTCAGATATCATTATAAAAATTACCGCACTTGGATGAATAATAATTGGATTGTAACATTATCCGAAGATGCGGAAGAAGGTACAATTTCGGATGCTGGAAACTCATCATCAAATTTATCCTCGTAAATAAATAAATTTTTATAGTAATTTTAATTCTTTAAACTGATTAAATATTAATTTACAGAGATAATTTCCCTATTCAAATTTTAATAACACCAACAGCTGAAAGAGGTATGAAATTTTATCAAGTTCGAGTCCATCGTGATAATGGAGAATCAAATCATTTTAAAGTTTATGAAGTTTAATTGATGATTTATAACCAAATTAAGTTATATAAAAAATAAAAAGCGCATTTTTCTCAATCACTTTATAGTCATTTTTTTGCCTACAGTTAGTTTAAGTGACACAAAAACTTGTTCATGCAAATTACTCTGCTAGTAATCGTGTCCACATGTAACCTATAATATTCCATCTCGTGCAACGTTATTGGGTACATTTTGATATGAAGTTCTAGTTTTTTTAGAGAAAATAAATCTTTATGATTTATTTTTCCGAAATAGAATTCTTTGTAAGTCCATATTTTTATGGTTCTGTACTTAGGATTCTTGTCGTGTTTACTTGCTGTTTGTTATTAATCATTTTGACAGCAACTTACGTTATCATATGTTCGAAGAAATTTACACACACACATACGTCTATACTGTGTGTATATATATATATTATAAGCTGACATGGGACAATATTTTTTATAAAACTCTATACTGATTTTAATAAAATACAAGTAACCCAATGTTGAGTCAATAGAATAATAGGCCCATCATGTTAAGTACTGTGTTATAAAATATGAACAGTATCATTTTGAAGGAAGTTAGTACAGTATTAATGTAATAATAATTTTATGTTACGCGAGGTTCTAAAGTTTTATATAAAGGGAGTCAAACCCCTTATATAAGTTGTATAATGTAAAGGTCTACTGTACAAGAATCATAACTAGTGCTAGACTAATACAAATGTATGTAAGACTGAATATTGACAAGCGTAAGCGAGTATCTGAGGCCCTAGTATTTTAGAAGTTCTGACATATATTTAAAATTAAAATATTGTATTTATTCTGTAGAAGATAATTTCTAATTAAATTTTATTTTGGCTTCTTTATTAATTTATAAATTTTATAAGTTTATGATAAAATTCAAGATATTTCGTTTATAGTAATGAAATTATAAAAATATACTTAAGAAAATGTAGGCCTAAAAACTTAAGTTCAATAAAAATAATGAAAAAATCAAGTATATACGATAATTATACGATTAAGCACTACATAAAGTATTCATAAATCAAAAGTTTAGCTCTGTTATTTATTTTATATGTCTTTTATATCGTCGTTTGTGTAATTATCGCACACAATATACTCATTGACAAATAATAAATTGCGCACTAAGGAAGAAGCATTGAAATACAATATAGTACAATTTAAAAGAAGTCTTTATTACCTTGTAGGACCTCCACTTGACTAGTTACAGACATTTTAGTGCTTAAAGGACGGAAATAATTAAAAGAATAATTATAATATATTTGAGCATGGAGACGTACAGAAAACATATGCTGTCTTGTGATAGATTTGCCCAAAGTGTTGCAACCGCTATTCTATCAATAGATCTCTAATATTCGAGATGGTTGAAGTTGCGTCATGTTAGGCCAAAGTAGTGTGGCAACGTGACGAAGACATTCCTAGAAAACCCTACCTGTGTTTGCTGTGCATTGTATTACTGGAAAATAGATTCTCGTCCATACCATGAAAGGTAACACACGGATTTTCTAAACCTACGTTGTGCTGTCAATGACCTTCGGACTTTTACTATATGGATAGCCGCTATTATATGAGATGGTTACCCAGATCAACACACCAATAATGGAATACCGTTCGCTCAACAGTAAATTGGAGCGGAATTTAAAGCGCTCCGCTAGCCAGTGATCCTCCACATACTAACACGGTGGTTCGTTCCCAAACAAAACCAGAATTCGTCGCTAAGAAAGAAGCTTCCAGTCCGCAGTGATCCACGCCTCTCTATCATGGCAGCATTGAAGACGAAGTCGATGATGTTAGGATCCTAATGGTAGGACGCGTAGAGGTGCACACATGCAGAGTTGCCTCTGCTAGTCGCCTGCCAATGGTATAGAGAGAAGGTTCTGAATTGAAGCTAAATAGGTGTGCCTGTCAGGTATAACGGTACGTGTGTAGCAGGCTTAATGTCTTTAAATGTGTCAAGTAGGTATGCCTGACTTTCGAAGACCTCCAAACAAGGGATATTCTGGAAATTCTAAACATGGTGATCTTTTGAGGATAATAAGATAGCTATTTTAATGCACTCCATTAGCATTACCTGGCATAACTGTAATCACTTACATACAATTACATACAATTAGACCATAACTGTAATCATTTACATACCTGTCTAAGACAGCTTTTAGACGGAAATTTTTAGTAATAGATCAACTTTATTTGGGTGTGTAACGTTTTCGTCAATGAGTATAATTATTGCAAAGTTTTAAGTTTATCATTAAGTTAATTTATGGTAATTAATCTTATAAATTATTGAGTCAAATATCCATAATTATTCATAATTTAGTGCATAATTTTTTACTATAGATGTAAGAGTCTAAATTTAAGAATTATGCAAAGAGCTCGACTTACATAATTCAACTGAATTCAAAGAATCATTTAATATTTAAATGATTGTTTAATTCTAGAATGAAAATAATTGATATTAATGTTTTTAATGCTAATTTTGTGTAAATAATAACTAATATTTATAAATAATTGGGTTTTTTACTTACAATTTAATTTGTTATCAATCACGCTGTACAGCTTTCTAGTTCTTTACGTAAGTATAAATTTATTTATATTTCGTATTATTACTAAATGTAATACTTGTGGCATAATGAACGTTTTATCAGCTGGATCGTTAGAGATTCACATCTAGTAGTAAGCAGCTTTCTGGTTCTATTCCTTATCACAGGCATTACGAAAAAACAAATCCCAACATAATCGAATGATAGCGGTTCAGTCTGTTGACAAAACATTGGAACACTCAGTCAATAAATAAATAAAATAAGCACACGATATAAGCTAATATAATATTTATTTCCTTGTAATAATGATAAGACATAAACAGAATTATTCTAAATTGAACATTGAAAGAATAAAGATATTAACACAAAATGGTGCTGCTGTATTTGGAAATAGAACAAGAAAATCGCTTAAAAATGTCAAATAAATATATTTTTTAAATACATTTTTCATTATATTTAATTTTCGGTAAATGTAAACTTACCACCATTAAATGGCTGGCGGTAAGGTGTTAGTTTACATTCATGAGGATCTGGGTTTTTAGCCTGGCCTTAGGGATGAAGAACGATGCCTTCGTACTACCAAGTACGAAGGCATCTTTCTTCATCCCTAACACATAAAGGTCTGTCCCATTACGGGTCAGACCTTTATGTGTTACTCGTAATAGACGTAATTGTTCCCGACCTCCCAGAGAAGGCAACGGGAAACCACTCTGGGTACTAACCTTCCCTAGTAAACACCTTGGCGTATTATTAATCTGCGCCGGGTGTCGCCGACGTCAGAACTCTGATATGGCACGACGAAGAAGAAGAAGAAGTTCCCGACCACATAGCCTAGGGAAAAATCCCCAATCTGGATCTTGAAGCCCTCCGGGACCGTCGTAAGGACTAGGGATCCGGAATAGGGATTTTTCCGGAAAAAACTTGCGGACTTGTATTGTACAAAAAATAAAATCTTGAAGGCTGTTTTATTAACACGAAGCAAACATTTTAAAGTCTATGCAGGCCGTCGCAAGCTTGAATGGACCTAGGATTGAAGTTGGTTCCTTTTGTCATTATTTTCTTGAATAAATGAATTTCTTTATTAATGTCAATCGACCATTAGAAGAGTCCAGCGTTCAGAAGCTATGTAGACTGATTCAACTTTGGACTGTAACTTTCATTTATCTCTAGTTGTAAATTCTGGACTTTAGAAAATGATAAATGGAGAAAATCGTGAAACATTATTATTAACACTTAATAATAATTAAAGGTTATTTTAATAATTTTAAATTAATTTAAAATGAATTAAAATCCATTTTGAGATTGTTCGAACAAGATAAAATAAATACAGTAGAGCCTCGAAAACTCGGCCTAATGTGCACAGAAGGGTGGCCGAGTTTGTAAAAATGCCGGGTTATCGGGAATGGGTTAAAAAACTAAGTATGAGTGTTTCCCCAGAAAATACTGTACTGTATTTGTATGTATTGTTTACTTGAGAATACAACAGAGAATAAACTGCCCAAATACCCTTAAACAAAGGAAAAGTACACCCTTTATAAAGGCATAGAACCTTTACTACATGAAAATGAATAATGAATACACTGAGTACAGTAATTTACCTGATAAGACAGACCTCAGAAAAATACATTATGAGGCATAAAGCTGTCTTTATCATGAAAATTAATTAACTAAGGATTTTTTGCCCTGCCAGGGTGTGGCCAAGTTATCCGGAGTGCCGGGTTATCGAGAGCCGAGTTTTCGAGGCTCTACTATATCAAATTTAAAAACTTATCTTTAATATAAAATGTTTTATACTAGTTTTTATAAACATTAAAAGTTTTTAATAATGTATTAATTTTTTTTCTATTATGTTTAGTAAAATTTTTTAATTAAATATAATTTTTTCTTGTAAATCGTTAACAATTAGTTTAAACAATAAACAATTCGAATCCTCGTCATTTTGAGCTTCATCGGCAGCATTAACAATTTTTGATAATGCTGTCGAACCTCCAATAAAGACCACCTCTAAACAGCGGCCATTTTTTGGGAAGGGAATCAAAAATGTACACAAAATAACCTCCAAACAACGACCATTTTTATGGTCTCGTCAGTGGTCGTTGTCCAAAGTTTGACTGCATTAAAATTGTAAATTTAAATTTTTATGAATTCAAATAAGTGTGACTTCATGAGTGCATCTAAAGTTGTGAATATGTACATATTTTAGAAGGATTTATTTGGTATAAATTACACTTTTTACATTATATTTTTGATTAAAATATTAAAAATCATTACTGTATATGATTAAGGATATAAAAAGTATGTAACAATTTTAAGATGATAATGAAAATTTATATTAATGTAATTTACTAAAAAAACTCGTTGATGAATTGCAAGTAATAAAACTTAACTTTACAAAGAAAAATTCTTAATTATAATTTACTACAAAGAGATTTTTTGAATAACATTCATATGATAATGAGTAGTAAATAATTTCCTTAGGATCTGGCAAGAAATCGCTTTAATA